CTCTCTCTCTCTTGGTGCCCTTTTATAGGCAACCATGGCATCTCCTCAACAATGGCTGCACATGGGTTGATACATTTGTCAATGGTGGGTGCAACTACCATTGACAAATGGTAACCCTACTTCTTAGGGTAGGTTGCCCATTAATGGCAAATCCCAACAATCATCCCCTTTGACATTTATATGGGCAATTGTCCTCTTACTTCTTCAGCACAAGCTTGCATCCTACAACTCTTCCAAGCTTTCCATTCTGAGAGCGTTTGTGGCCAAGTTTACAGGTACTTGCCAAACCTTTCAATCATCAGAGTAACTAAAGCACACCTTTTCTCACACAAAAGGATCACTACAACTAGATGGTCTGACTTGGGAGCTATTAGCCCAACGCTTGTTACATGGAAAAGGATTACTACAACCAGATGGTCAGCGTGCGGCGGTTTTCGATGTCCGATTTCGACGCAGTTTTCACCAGTGGCTTCGTCTCTTCCTCCTCTACACAGTGGTATGGTCAAAACAAAATTTTGACAACTTTCATTTTTTAGCAAAATCAAACACCACTTTAAACCATGTGCTCTGATACCAATTGTTGGGAATTTCGACCGGTGATGTACTGATATTTGCTCATAGGAGGCCAAACACACTGACACAATATTTACGTGGTTCGGCAAAACCACCTACATCCACGGGAGAGAGTCTATATTATTAGAGATTAGAGAAAGAATACAAAACAAATACATGGAGGAGATAGATCATTTCTCTCTACTCTACTTCCAGCTCTTTTTGCTGCACTTGCAGCTGCTGCAATGGCAGCAAAGCTGCCTTGCTGCTCTCTCTTTCTCTCTACTGTCTTCACATTCTCACAATCCTCTTCTCATCTTGCTCTCTCTCTCTTGGTGCCTTTTTATAGGCAACCATGGCATCTCCTCAACAATGGCTGCACATGGGTTGATACATTTGTCAATGGTGGGTGCAACTACCATTGACAAATGATAACCCTACTTCTTAGGGTAAGTTGTCCATTAATGGCAAATCCCAACACAATTCACATGCCAACTTGATACCCATATTTAATTTAATGTTTACCATTTTCTTTTCGGAAAGCATTGACGGGGTCAAATTTCTATAAACAGGGGGATGATGGTTGAATTTGCTAAGAACCTGGGTGATTTTGCTGTTGCTACTGGAATGAAGCATGTAGTGGTGCTTTCTAGCTTAGAGTTTATGAGATTGCAAAAGACTGATGCATTTTCTGTCCTGTTGCTTAGCTGATATTATAAGCTTTGAAGGTCTGTATTTGGTCTGCATTCTTAACATTAACCCTGTGCTCAAAGCATTTAAACATTAGTGGATACCTTCTCAAATAACCGTTAAATCTCTATTTTCCTTGATTAGAGACCCTTAAGTATTGTTGTTTTCAAGTTTTCCCTGTTACCGAAATCTTCTCAAACTTGCCATTTTTAAAAACGGATAAAAACTGTTTTGGGATGAAAACATTAATGGGAACTTACTGATGTACTTTTAAGCGGAGAAATTATTCAAAATTGCTTAAACTTAAGCTGTAAGCTGGATAGCCTGTCTGCCATTGCCTAACCATTTAGCTAGCTTCAGTGGCTTGCAGATATATGACGTATCTTACACCAATACTGATGGAACAGATGATTCTTGGTAATGACTTGGGTGGAAAAAATGGCTGGAATATAATCCTGCTCAGTGGACTAGGATTAGCACTTTAGCTGAAGAAAATTCCATGTAGGAAGATAACCTACCATTTGAAGATGAAGCAGAAGACGAGGATTACTACCCAAGTTTGCTTTTTGCTGCCCTTTTTTTCTTGTTTTAAGGTAATAATAATTTTCAAGAAGCAATATGAACATGTCTCTATGTGCCAACACCGTTCCCACAATGTTCTGACTACAAAGTTTTTAGAGTACTTTCCGCTTTGAGTAATATTCAAGTTCTCAACTACAATGTTCAATATACATGGGTCAAAAAATAAATTTTACTTGTAAAAGCTTTTGGGTTCTTGAACCAGGCATAAGGCATAAAAGATAAATGCTTGCTGTGTCACTGCTCTGAAGGGGACAACACACCTGAAGCTCTTAGCCTGGCCAAGGCGACAAGCTAACTTTTAGGGCTAAGTCCTGAAAATCCCCACGGTGAATTCTTACTATTCACACCTATCTATTAGTAACATTTTAAAATAGTTTGCTTCAGATGGGTGATGTATTTTATAGTTTTCTTCCAGGAAAAACATGTTGAATTCTCACTGCTATATTAGGCTATGTAACATCATTCTTCTACATATCATAATTCCCATTACATTTCTTTCTGTCTTGAAACAAAATTATCATTTAGGCCATATTTTATCACAGCCCTGATTGGTTAAGGCGGCAAATTGTTTAGGAGGTCAAGCATTCATACTTATAGGTGTAATGTTTTCTTTCAGGGGAAGTTCGTAAATGGCTCATCTCATTTTCTTGGAGGACTGTTTGCGGACCACCGCCAGATTTGTCATGTTTCAGGCTTGATTAACCATGCAACATGAAGTGATATCTTCAATGAACCAGCTCTGGGTTTTAGGAAATCTTAGTTTGTTTCAGTTCTGTTGTGTAAAGTCCGTGAAAATCTGGTTAATATGCTCCAAAAGAGGGATAGATAAAAAAAACTCTTGGAGGGAAATATAGAGCTTGGGGGGGGGGGGGGGGGGGGGGTGTGGGG